GATAAATTTTAACCAAACTATGTTACAGACTTTTCATTAAGACCCTAAAGAATCATATCAACTTGTGGACAATGGGCATCCAATGACCACTTTCTTTTAAGATGTTTTATACGTGTCAGAAAATATTTATTTTATGTTTTGCAAAAGATAAACAATTTACTACCAATAAATAATTACGTGTTCGTATTTTATATAGATATACACAATTAAATGTTAGATATTGAAACATTACTGTATGCTCCTGTATATTAGTTACATAATACAACAGTATATAATATATATATATATATATATATATATATATATATATATATATCAGTAGTAGAAATGGACAAAGTGTCACAGATCTAAGATCTTCTGCAATACGATCAAAACATTTAATGTATGTTTATCTATTTGAAATCAACAGTCTAAAATTTGTAAAAAAAAAAAAAAAAAAGTATATATATTTCATTATGGTTTGTCAACAGCGGTGTTATTTTAATATCATTCGAGATACTATTATAGTTTTTATTCATTTTTTGAATCCGTTTTTATATTATCTGTTTTCATAATCATTGTAGTACATTAGGTTAAACTAAATTAAATTGAGAAATGGTGCCTTGGCATGTAGCTGAAGTAAAAAAAAGTGTTTATTATGTTATAATAATCATATATAATTGCTAGAAATAAATGATTAAAATTATTATAATTTTATGAATATTTTTCCCCATTGATTTTTTTGCCCCCCTCATACTGAATCAAACAACCTCAGTGCTTTTTTTTTTTTTTCAAACCCACCCATTAGCTGCACAGCCAGAGGGTGTTGCAACACTTGGCATATGCACGCGTTACTGTTCTAAATTTGGAGCCTTCTAGGCTCAGGGCTGTGCTTGGAGTTTTCTTAGTCCTATAATCATAGGTCAGTTTTTGGGATGGAGGCTTAGCTGAGGTTTCGAATTCAATCCAGATGAAGAACTCAACTTACTGTTGTATCCATCAGCACTTTTTGCTCCAAGAGTCCCACTGGTCTTATGTAACGTCTCGGTTGTACCTGGATTCCCCCTACTCTGGTCAGCCTCAGTGTCTCCTAATTTGCCTTTCTTCTAAAAATAACAGACCATTTTTATTACACCCTCAATTTTACTTTAAACTGAATTTTAAGACTAAATGGTATGTTTCTAGCCATGACGCGTCATCACTAGAGACCATTCAAACTGAAAGCGAGGTATAACATTGCATATTGATACCCCTGGGTTGATAGAGATGGAGGAGAGGAATTGTAGGCGGTTCAGACCCTTTGGCGAGGTACAGGGTCAGCTGAATAATTAATTAAACAGAGACGGTGATGACAAGAAACGTCTTTCATTTGAGCCTGGGAGTTCTGCTTCATCCGCCAGGCACATTGTCTCAGAAGGCACATTGCAGACATGCTACAGATACTAAACCACAAAATGGCAGTCATGTATCTTATTTATGCTTGTATGTATCATTTGTCTTTATCTGTATTGAATTTAGATGCCATTAAGCTTATTTCCACAGTTTACATTCACACAAAAAGTCGACAAACAAGTCAGTCAGCACAGCTTCAAACTTTAGTGGTTTGTTTAGTTAGAAACTCTAATGTAATTGTCTGTCATACGGAGGTGTTATTTGGTTATTAGTTTATGCCGCCCCCTTTTGGTAGTGAAGAAAAGCACATTCACTTAAAAATAATGCTGTAACTCAAGATGCTTGTGTGAAAATTTAAAATGTAATGTTTTAATGTCTATATTTGATATATTTTAATTAATTATGTGACCTCATTATTTAAAAAGGAAGTTACGATTAATTCATAACATGCAATTATTTATTAGTGAAAATAAAGCTACATAAACACTACTGTTTAAAGGTTTGAGGTCAGTTAGATTTTTTTTTATTCATTAAGGATGCATTCAATTGTTAAGAGTAATGGAGACTGGAGTAATGGCTGTAATAATATTTGACAATATTACTGTTTTTACTCTATTTTACCGTATTATACTGAGACTTAACTAATAGTAATAGTGCACAGAAACTAAAAATACTTATTTTGCATCTAAACATCTTTGTGTATGTTTGTGTCTCCCAAAGAACTGTCTAATAAGGGTGACAGCGAGAGGCAGAGAAGCTCTGGTCACTGATTTTGGTTTGGCTCGAGAGGTGGTTGAACTTCCTGCAAAGGACAGAAAGCTTTCACTTGTGGGTTCTGCTTTCTGGATGGCCCCCGAGATGCTGCGCGGGGAGCCATACGACCGCAAGGTAACGACTCTTATGAACGCGATTGTGGTCTTATGAACGCGATGTTCTAAAGCATTTTCTAGTTCTCACCTACTGATTTTGCTTTATGTAACGTTAGGTGGATGTGTTCTCTTTTGGAATTGTTTTGTGTGAAATTCTGGCTAGGGTCCCAGCAGACCCAGAAATCCTTCCAAGAACACAGGTGAATATAAATAGAATTATTGACGCCTTTGAAGTGCCAGAAAATATAACATGCAGGATCAGAATCAAATGAGCGTATACTTTTTTTAATATAGAATGTATTTTTTAAATTTTTAATATATATATGATTGTGGGTGTTGCAGGACTATGGCCTGGACGTGTCAGCGTTCAGGAAAATGGTCAGTGATTGTCCTCAGCGTCTTTTGGAGCTGGCAGCCAGCTGCTGTCTGGTAAGTGACCTTGTTACCTTTAGTGTATATGAAATGGACACACATTTCCTCTGTCAGTTATGCCTAAAAACTAACAAACCCTTTGGAAAAGGAAGTAATGTGTTACCATTGACTTTTGTTGTTTCTCATGCAGATAGAGGCTTTCCGAAGACCCTCTTTCACAGAGCTTCAAGACGAGCTGGGTGAAATCGCGGAGACTTTGGAGTGTCTTCACAATGATCTCACCACAGGCTGATCTGCGGCACATCCTCTGGTATCCCATCAGCCCTGCAAATGGACACAAGCAGCTGGAGTTCTGTACATAGACTTAAGCACAATGACAAATGCAACAGAACTGCAGATTTCTCTCTGGGCTGTTTGCATTGAAAGAGCAAATTAAGGAAAAGGTCGCTATTTATTATGGACGTTCTGCAAGTAACTAGATGGCCTACAGTTCAACTCCGCACAGCTGTACATAGTATATACTGTGCAATATTTAGTAATAGTATACCAAGAGAAATGCAGTGTTATAATTTACAAAGCTACAGATTTTCAAACCTATTGCTATTTCTGTTTTGTATAGGAATCATTTTATATCGAAAAACAACCCTAAGATAGGTTTTGAGGCTTAGATAACCATTGATAAAAAGGACTAACTTGAGGGTCACAGGTTTTAAATAACCAAATAATATTTTCGTAGGTTTCAGTATATCGATACTTGATTAAATTAAATTGTACAAGAGAAAGTAATTTATTTTGGTACCAGCTGCCCAAATAGGAAAAAGTGCATTTGTATTGCTGACTTTTTTGAAAAGCGACATATTTAAAAGTGCTTTTCTTTATTTGAAAAGCAATTGATACATAAGCAAGCACTCGTCACTTGTGGTTTTGCCTCCACTCTGAGCTGAGCTGCTGATTTTTGGAAATTCTCCATAAGACCCAGCCGCCACCACAGGATGAGGCCATTTCCTGCCTTCAAGGGCCTTGGTGTTGCCGCTGCAGTTTTATAGTGCTCTCATTGTGCCGAGTGTTTGTGAAACTTTTAGTTTACTTGTTTGCCATGTGTTGTGAATTTCAGTACTCACACATGTATCAGAAGCGTGAGCTGGCACCGGTCCGACTCCAATAAACTGACACCAAACCATTTCTCTGGACACATTATGGTCATAATGGCTGAATAAGAAATGTGAGATTAAATGTTCAAGACAAATTGTATTATTTGTATTATTTACAAATCAGAAAACTTGTGCATTTTGATGAACACAGCAAAAATGATTATTTCTAGCCAATTTCAAATGCATAACTTGGCACTGTTGATTTGTACGTGTTCATATTTTTTTTCTTGGTATTTGTGTTTTTAATATTTATATACAAGTACTGCTTAGCTGTTATTTTAGTTTTTAATCATCAGTTTCGATGCCTGTGAATTGCTTCCTGAACATCATTCACGTTAACTTGAACAAAATCTACATTCTGTGCCTCAGAGGAAGCTCGAGAATCTTGTGGTGAGGAGTGTCACGCTAACCTCATGTTTCTGAAACAGTCTGTATAGTCTGAATCTTTCTGTGGTTTGTAGTGTTTTTTTAATACAGTACATGACATAAAAAGAGGAAAGGAAGCATATGTGAATGGTGTGTATTTTTCAAATAAAGCCATTGAAAATCTACTGGTCTTAAAAATATAGTTCTTTGCACAGGAGCTGCACTATTAGCATCAGGATTTTATAAAAACTAACCACCAAAAAAAAACTACTGAAAACTTTCCTTAAAGGACTGTATAAAAAACGTTGGACTGTCCCTTTCTCTGCTTGATAGACGGTGATGTATGGTAAGAAACATTTGTGTAACTATCATATATTAAAATGCGCCTTACTTTCATGTCTGGTTACCTGGCAACTTTGTAGAAAGATACCCAATGCTAAGCAGGCTTCTTTGTGCCGTCTGCTATCAAACCACTCAATGCAAATGATTTGAATAATCATGAATGACAAACAGTGCATCATGGGATTAATCTCTTTATGTGATCCTGGGCTATTGAATTAATGACTCGGCTGACAGGCCTAAAACTTTATCGGATTAAACAAACCTGAGAGTTTGAACAGACTCGGTAATGGAAATGTCTTGAGTAATTTTCAGAGCTCTGCACAGTCTTGATTTCTTAAGTTCCTTTAGAAATCACTCTGTTTGAATGTCGTATCATTGCCTGTTTTCTCTAAGACATCAATTTTATACACCCCTCATTTTGTCCTTGCTTGGCCTGAAAACAACATGGCACAATTTAACTGGTGCTTTTGGTGTTTATACAATGGCCTGTTTGTTTCCAGCTGTACCAAAACACTGAATAGATGTGAATGAATAATTAAACACTGGCATTTCTTCCGGTGGGCTTTAAAGCAGAGCAAGTCTGTTGCTGTACAGATCAAAGGCACCGGTTGAGCAGCAGATGCTTTATTAGCTTCATGTTTTATCAAGATTTATAGCAGTGAGGGAGCAAAACTCCATATTTTAATGTTTTTAATCCTATGATGTACGGTCATAGGTGACTGGAATATTAAAAGATCCGATTTGGATGAGGTTTATTTCTGTTTTCTGGATGTCCATCCTGTGCCTGTTTTTCTGCCAAGCTCCTTCATTTGTGTTAGTTTCTATTGGCTGAATCTACTACTATGTGACCATTACACACAGAACCACCCAGAGCAGTCATCATCATCATCCAGAAAACATTGAGTCCAGATAAAGAGATGCATACTGTTCCTTCTCCACAGAACACAATCCCATAATGCACTGCAACAAGCGCTGTGGGGGGAAAATAAAAATAAAATAAAAAATTAATTAAAAAAAATCACCCACGCACATGGTGTTGACACCTTTGTAGAGTGTTCCAAATCAGACACTTATGAGGTTCAAAAGAAGAAGAGAGATCTTCTCATAACTGAAACCCTTTTGCCGAAAACAGTAGTGACGCAATCTGTCCATTAGATGGCAGTGTCTGGTATGATTCACACTTACCTGCACTGAATTCACTATTTTGTTGCCGTGACACGCTTGTCACAGAAGCAAAACATTCACTTTCATTAAAAAGAAAGAAAAAGAAAAAAAGTGATTTATTCATTTTGTTATAAAATAATTCACTTCTTATTTGCTTGTGTGTGGAAAAAAAAGTTTGGGGTCAGTAAGATTTTTTAGAAATTAATACTTTTATCTGCAATGACACATTCACATTCTCATCATCCTTATGACACTATAATTATTGATCTGTTCTGTTATTGATAACTGAATATCTTTGTTATTATTCCGTTACCATTAACATAATTACCATTATATATTAAATTACATGCAAGTGGAAGGCTTAATGAGCCTCACCACTTACTTTAGCAGACAACATGTGCAAGTACAAATCTTTCATATGGGACACACTCATACATTCCCCAAAACGTCGTAAGACCTTAAGGAACAGAAGGTAATAATCTAGCATTTTATGAGACATCTTCCCCTCAGCACCGTCAAGTCTGGCTGCTCATCATCTGTGGGTTTAATGTTGTGTGTCCACCTGGAGTTATAGCAGTTTGATGTTCGTTCAGCCCTGCTGCCTCTGACCTTCATACAACCCCCCATATGAACAAACACATCTACCACCATCCTCTGTGGGGTTCATGCGCTTCCCACAGCCTATCATGAGAGTCATGATCGATGGAAACCATTCAAATATCAGCGCTCCTGCCATAAGGTGCATAACGCAACAACACGAGCTAACACAAACATATAGAATAAATATCCTTTTAAAGGCACCACAGAAAATAGTTTGTGGGTTATGAGTAATACACACTTTAATATCCTACAAAAGGGTTTATTGTGCTCGAAAGTGGTTTCATGAGCCATAGTATTACTGCTTTAGCAAGCTGCAACTATACGTGACCCTCTCTGTGAAATCCAGGCTAAAGTCTCAAAATCTAATTATGAGATAACAAGCATCAAAGCTTGATTTCAACCATTAATTTCACTATGATTTCAATCTTTGACATGGTCTTACTCATTAATAAAGGCATCAATGTTACATTTTCACAGAATGTTATTTACCTTATGAAGGATGATTTTATATAGAAAACAGTAAAAACCACCAAAAAATGACTTTAGCTGGGTTTTCACAGACAAGGTCACATATATTCTTAGTAGAATAAAAATTAATTTATATGGCTAATGGAGTGAGAAATTTAGAAAAGGGGAGGTGACCAAAGGACAGGTCACATTAGAAGCAACAACTTTGAAGGAGTTTACCACACATCACTGATATACTAGCATCATATACAATATGAGTCAACAGTACTTGAAGCCACGGTGTGGTTTTGCAAAATATGACTTCAGATATAAACTTTCACATAAAAAAAAAAAAAAAGTAATAGAGTAATATAATCCATTAGGCTAATAGGAATGTGAAATAAATAGAACTTATGGAACCATTTTATCATTATGAGACATGTTTACAGAAGCTATAAAGAGTAGTAAAAATGATATCATTGATCAGCATGAGTGTTCACTACATATTATAATGAATATTTCACGAAAAAGCTGAATCTGACAAATCTGCTCTAGTGTGATTGGCTCGCTTTATGCAACGTTTGAGAGTTATAAACATTTTTTACCATTCTACCTGAAAACCAAGTCGTGTTTAAAATGTAAAAGGTAAATATTGACTGGATCTGCTAAAATATGACACTGTGTCATTTTTTTCTAAACTGTTGACACTGCAACATCTTATTTTTATTAATTATAATATTACATATTAAAATATTGAAAATATTTACACATGTATTCTATGTCTATTATGATGCACATATTCAAGATAAACCAGTCATTAAACATAACATATATGTAAAAACAAAACAAACCCTGGTTGGTGCATGTTGGTCAAATCAGAAATCTCTTTCTGTCTAAGAGGACAAATATTGGCCAGAATAAGCTGCATATGGATGAGATCTCATTCTGTAGTCAGAAGCTTGACGAGCGAGACTAGCATCAGTATAAGCCAGTTTTCATTTCCATTAGAAATACATTTCGCTTTCCAATGGTCTTCTGTTCGGAAAACATCATCCTTACTTAACAAATTGTGCAATTTGTATTCTCAAGCCCCTGGGAAAAGCTTAATTTGTTCACTTAAAAATTGACCTCTAATTTGCTGACCACATAAAGTGGAGGTCTCATTGCGTCGCTGGACCTCCACGAACGGTAATTTGTTTTCCAGGAAGGGTTGGCACTTTATGTGGGTGTAAATGGGGCTGTGCATTATTGTTGTTCTCTGTAATTGAAGTGCTGAAATGACAGACGATTTACAGATTTGCCAATAGCAGGATGAAAGCTGGCCAGTCACAGCGTAGTATGCTGGTCTCAATGACAGGGTCATTTGTTAGCCGGTGACTACTGGACTCGTGAACAATGTGGGTTAATGCTTCAGACTGATTTAAGGAGAAACCGTTGTCAGATCTTTAAAAATTAGCTTATATTATACTCATACTCTAGACTACATTCAGTCACACCAATTTCATATAAACATAACATCTTTTTCATGACATCCCAACATGCATAAACACTAATTATGCAATGCAACCTTGCCCCAGAAAAGCTTTTAATACGTTGCGGGCAGTTATTTGTAGTCCTGTGATCAATAATAATCTAACAGTGTGAGGAGAGAGAGCGAGAGCAAGAATCTGGGTCAATGATAAGGAAATGGACAGAGATGCAGGACCGCGCATGGAACGGAGCGCTAGTGTTTATGCGAGAAAAACCTGCCAGGTCAAGATGAAGCAGGGCTGGAGGAAGGACGTAGAAATAGAGACACAGAGTCAAGACTCTTTAACTGAATGCGCTTGTTTATAGGGGAGGATGCAGTAGGCCAAGGCTGGTGCTAAAATAAGCAGTGCCCTCCAGAGATATTGTGCAGTAAAAGAGAGGGGCAGTAATCCGTCTTAACACCGAGAGTCTAACGCCTGTTTCACACATACTCCGTCTGCAGTGCGTGTGCGTTGCGGTTTTTTTTACGCACCCATTTTAACGGATTAGAGCTTTCACACTGCACGCGGTTGCGGTCCGTCAGTGCGTTCCAGGTGCGGCGCGTCTGCAGCAGTGCAGCGATCGTTTACGCACCGAGTCTATTTTTGCTGTGCTGCACGCGCTGAATTAAAGTGACAGCGCTTTGTTCGCGGTAAAAATGCCGCATACGCACTGCAGACGGAGTATGTGTGAAACAGGCGTAAGCCTCACACAGGAGAGCACTCGAGGGGGCGCTGATAAGGCTTACGTTGTTGCGGTCATGCTTCTAACACCAAAATCTATTTAAATAATTATATTTATTATTTAGATTAGTTACAAAAAGTTACGGAAGTTTCAGCAATCTCTCTTTCCTTTTTAATATACACTACCATTTAAACGTGAGGTCTGTAAGATTTTTTTAATGCTTTGATAGAAGTCTCTTATGCTCACCAAGGTTGCATTTATTTTGCATTTTTACTTAACTTTTTTTTTATACTTTAATGTATTTATTAATGTCTTTAGTGTCACATGATCCTTCAGAAATCATTCCGTTGATACA